GGCAGGCTGCACTCAGGAGAACTGGGAGGTGATAATCCTGTTGTAGGGTGTGCTGGGTCTCCACCCCGAACCCATCAGGCTGCACCCGGGTCCCCACGTGTCCCTCAGGGGCGGTTACAGGGGTGAAGGCTGGGGTGCCCATCCACGGGGGGTGTCTCCACCCCACTTCCCACAGTGCCCTCCACTTGGATCCCTAGTTCGTCATCTAAGCGGAGGTCTCACCGTCCCGCCTGGCGAGGCTGTCCTGCAGGGGAGGCCAGGGTACAGCGAGCGGGGTTTTCAGGCCCCCTGCCTCATTGGCACCCAGCACTTGTCCCCTGGTGTGAGCTGCTTCCGAACCGCTTAGCCTGTGTGCCGGCGGCTGGGCTGTGTGCTGCCCGTGTGTGTGTGTGTGTGTGTGCACGTGTGCACGTGTGTGTGCTGCCCGTGTGTGTGTGTGTGTATGTGTGTGTGGCGGGGGGGAGGCGCCAGCTTAGGCCTCAGACTTGCCCTCCGTCCACCAGCTTCTGTCCCAGGCCTGAGTCAGAGAGCTCAACACGTGCTCACGGCAGTGTAAAAACATCCTCATTTCTTCCTCAAAGGGCTCGGTGACCCCAAGCTAAGGGGCCACACCGTGAGTCAAGGAGGCGGATATCAAGGGAGAGTTAGCTTTTTTGTGGCTGGAATTCGTCACGGATTAACTAGATGTTCTGGTCCCCTGTCCCATCAAAGAGCCTGACCAAGAGGGTTCGGGGGTGCCTTGCCGGCTCTGGGTTTCCATAAAGCCGCGTGCGCCCAGGCCTGGGGCCCTGCGGTCCATGCCCTCACTCACCGCCTGTCTCCCTCTTGGTCCGTAGTCGATTACAGCATGTTTGAGAATTTGAACACGGCCCTCACGCCAAGGCTGCAGTCCAGCCGCTCCGTGCCCCACTTGTGCAGGCCGGTGGACGCCCTGGGGTCTGTGGAGTCCGGCGGGCCCGGCCTCTGGGTGGGCAGCAGCCAGCACCTCAAGAACCTGGGCAGAGCCGTGGGGGCCAAAGTTAACGACTTCCTGCGGAGGAGGGAGCCCTGGAGCCTGGGCAGTGTGGGTGCCATGGCGGTCAACAGGACTGCAGAGGCCCAGCTGGCCGACGGGGCCGACGCGGAGGATGAGAGGTGAGTGCGCCTCCGCTGGCCCAGGTTCGGGGGTCCAGGGCAGAGTGCCCCTGAGGAGGGGACTGAGGGTGCCATGTGAAGCGAGGCTGAGGGACGGGCGCAAGCCCCACACACGGGGGGCTGCAGCCTTCCCACCTTGCGGGTCGGCACTTGGGGAGGGACCATGGCAGCTTGAGGGTACAGGTAGTGACCGGCCCAGCGGATGGAGCCGGTGTGGCCCAGAAGCCACCCGAGCTGCCCGACGGGTTGGGAAGCCGCTGGGCTGCCACCCTCCTCTTTCCAGCCTGTGTGACTCGCCTGTGTGACATGCCTGTGTGACTCGCCTGTGTGACACGCCTGCACCCTGTGGCGCTGATGGCCTTCGCAAGGCTCACTGCCCAGGTCCTATGTCGCGGGCCAGAGCCACTTGTGCTCCGGCCACTGAGACCACACGCTGCCCCAGGAGGGCGGGTGAGGTCAGGATGCCAGGGAACTTAGAGGCTGGCGGGACGGGCACCACCAAACACGCACGTCGATTGTCGTTACCCTTGCAGGTTGGCCCTTAGAGAAGCGTTCCCCCGACTGGACCCTCCGCCTCCTGTAACCCGGAAGCGAACCCCTCGGGCCCTGAAGACCACCCAGGACATGCTTATTTCTCCCCAGCCCGTCCTGAGCAGCCTGGAGTGTGGGACGGAGCCACCCCCTGCACAGCCTGTCCCGGCAGATGCTTCACAGCTCGAGGCCGCCGTGGGAATGGCGGACGGGGGCGAGGCCCTGCCCAATGGCGCGCCGTGCCTGTCTGTCCCTGACCTAATCCACCAGGACGGCCTGGATGAGCCGCGGCTGCAGACCACG